AAGGCCAGAAGGGGACACAAAAAGAAAAAAAAAAAAAAAAAAAAAAAAGAAGGAAAAAGAAAAACCCTAAATCTCCTTAGGTCTTAATCAAAATAGCGTAGAATCTTCACAGCGAAGTTATGTATTTTGTTACATTTCCTGAAATAGCTCATCAACAACTCTTCAATCAGATTCTAATCACTGCTCTCAGCTACAGTAGTAGCGTAGACAAGTCTAGCCAACAGTGACTGGGTGCCTCATCCAGGTTAGCCAGATGGGCTTGAGGTCGCTTTCTTTTCTCGCTTCCAATGTGCTGTTAAGACACTCTGGGGACTTTTATTTGGAGACTGTCAATTTCAGTCTTAGAGGTTTTAGAATCTCCCTTTGGTTCTTATTTGGTAGACTTTATTTTTCCTCCCATTTATTGTGAACATGTTTCCATTTATGCCCTTGAGCACTTTGGGATCTTTGTCCAGAATTCCAACATCTGGGTCATCCCAGGGTCTGGTGTCATGAGTGCCTTTTGTCTTGACTACGGTCAAGCTGCCCTCCTTCTTCATATGTTCAGGAACGCTGTCTTGTGTTGCTTTTGTCAGGCATTGCATCACAACAACGGAACTAGAACTGGAACAGAAATCATCACCAGGACTGGGTTGTTGCTGTGATGGATCTGATCAGGTGGCTTTTATGCCTTGGACTGTTTTTGTGGGAGGAATATGGAAGCATTTAGCACTTTGGGTTGGAAAAGCTATTGAGTGTTCCGGGAGGAACTTAATGGGCCATCCTTGAGACAAGACTGCTGAGAGTGATGCCGACAGAAAGCCAGCTTTGCTTCAGCAGGAGAGCAAGGGCTTTGACATTGACAATGACATTGACTGACATTTGCATAGTATTTTGGTTAAAAAACTGTGTGTTAGGGACTGGAGAGATGGCTCAGCAGTTAAGAACACTGACTGTTCTTGCAGAGGACCTGGGTTTGGGTCCCAGCACCCACATGGCAGCTGATAACTGTCCGTGACTCCAGTTCCAGGGGATCCGACAGCCTCTTTTGACCTCCGCAGGCATTGCACGACACAGGTGCACTTACCTACGTGCAGGCAGTGCACGCGTGCACATAAAATAGGAATAATAAAATATTTAAAAAACTATGTGTTAACCACGCTGGGGTTGGGGAAGCTGCTGTGATCATGAAAGAGATCAGCACCTCTGAAGTGTAACCTCCTGTCTCATCGGGACAGAAGGAATGTGTTTCTCAGAAGCAGCATATAGAAAGTGTGGTCCAAGGAGGCTACACCTTAGCGGGACCTGGTAGCATAAGACTTGGTGCTGGGTTTTGAGGCATGAAGGCATCGTGGAGAGCATCTGAAGATTGACACTTGGGCAGGATGAGAGTCCCTGCAGAGAGGCTCTAAGAGGCTCTTGTTAAAGGTGAGGCCTTGGTTGCAATGGAGACCCCAGGATATTGGAGAATACAGGACCATGAGATTCCCCACCAAGAAAGGCTGCAGGTGTGAGTGGAGCAGGCCTAGGAGGGAAGCTGTGTGTGCTGAGGTTGAAGAGCTGAAGAGGGGCTGCCCAAGCCCTTTGGAGCACAGATTGGAAGTGTCCCAGACAACAGGCATTGAGCTACAGGATTTGGATTTATACTGCTGGATTTTAGTGTTGCTTAAGTGTGATTTTTCATTTATTATGTCCTGATTGTCCCCTTTTGGAATAAGAATGTTTCAGAATAAGAATGTTACAATATGTAACTTGTTTTTGATTTTAAAAATATTTTACTTTATATTTTTTATGTGTATGAGTGTATTGCCTGCATGTATGTAAATGCACCCATGTTGTGCAATACCTGCGGAGGTCAGAAGAAGGCATTGGATCCCCTGGAACTGGAATTACAGACTGTTGTTAGCCAGCATGTGGACACTGGGAATTGAACCTGGGTCCTCTGGAAGAGCAGTCAGTGCTCTTAACCCCTGAGCCATCTCTCCAGCCCCTCGTTATTTACTTTATAGGCACTCACAGTTAAGCAACCTTAAATTTTTAAAGAGATGTCAGACTTCTGAAGGGCTGGATTTTTTTTTTTTCGGTCCTTTTGAGTCAGGGTCTCCCTGTAGCCCCAGTTGTTCTGGAACTCACTATATAGACCAGACTGGCCTTGAACTCTCAGAGATCTGCCTGCCTCTGCCTCTGAGTGCTGGGATTAAAGGCGTGCGCCACCATGCCTGGCTGGGAATTTTTGAAAACTTTTTTTTTTGAGTTGGACTGTATTTTATATGTGATATTAACATAAGACTTTGGGGTCAAGGGGTAGAAAGTTATGGCTTAAAGTCATGTGTTTTGTGTTATTAACAAGGGGTGGATTGTATTGGTTATTTTAACTTGACACAACCTAGAAACACCTGGGAAGACTTCTCAATTGAGGAATCATCCTAGATTAGGTTGCTCTGTGAGCATGCCTGCGGGGAACTGACTTGCCTTTTAATTGGTATAGGAAGACCCACCCCATGTGGGCAGCACCATTCCCTAGGCAGGGCTCCTAAATGGTAGGAGAGCAGCAGGCACAAGTTTTCGTGCATTTATTTCTTCTCTGCTCTTGCCTATGGATGTGATGCTTAAGTTCCTCCCTTGCCTTCTCTGCAATAATGGACTATAACTTGAAATTGTAGGTCAGATCAACCTTCTTGTCCCCAAGTTGCTTTCTGTCAGGGTGTTTTTTTTCACAGTCACAGAATATAACTATAACATTTCTGTTTCCAAGCAAGTGCCTGGTCACAGAGGGCTCCAGGAATGCTGGCTGGTCTACTTGAACAGGCCTTCCCACATAGCCAGGGTGTTCAAACTCTGAGCAGCTTCCCAGGCCCTGAGGCTGCGTCGTAAATACAGTCCTCAGGGCTCTGTGTCCCCCAGGAACTCAGTATGAGGCTCAGCTTCACTTTGTGTCTGATCTGACAGAGCCAGGCCCCTTGGGAGCAGGCCATGAGGCCTCATTCATCTTACCTGGTGCAGGGTGGGCCTGGCAGTCTGAGTACGCTCTGTAAGCACTTGCTGATTGCACAGTAGCTGAAAGTGGAGCTCACTGAGGAATCATGGCAAGGCTCAGTGTTAGGCCACCCCTCAGAAAGCAGGAACCCAGCAGGTCTGGGGATTAGCAATGACTTCCTGCTGGGCTCAGGTTCCTGCTGAGCTCAGAGATGCCTATATGTAGGCTCTTGAGATTAGGAGGTGCCCAGTAAGTTGGTAGATGCTGACTTCAGCTGGCTGCAGGAGGGGTGGGAGGCTTGTGAGCCATTTCCGGTCTTTTTTTTTTTTTTTTTTTTTGGTCTTTTTGAGGCAGGGTTTCCCTGTAGCTCCAGCTGACCTGGAACTCACTATATAGACCAGGCTAGCCTTGAACTCACAGAGATCTGCCTGCTTCTGCCTTTTGAGTACTGGGACTAAAGCTGTGCACCATCACATCCAGCCTGTAAACCATCTCTGGGTCAAGACCTCAGATAACATGTGGGTGCATGAGTTTGAGGTCATAGGGTTGCCCTGTGTCCTACAGGAAGCTGAGCATGCGCACCCAGATCTCTTCCAAGCAGCTTCTCTGCTTGTTCACAATCCTGGAGCTTTTCCCTCTGTTATCATCCCAGTTCCCACACTGATCACACAACCATTTTCTCAAGGTTGCACTGGAACTATGCTTCTGTGGCTCAGCATCAGCAGCTTCTGGGTCACTTAGAGGGGGCTTCTGTAGGAACAAATTGCTGCATGATATCACAAGCTGTCCGGTCAAGATCCTCCCACTGAGTTTCCTAAGGCTCCTAGAGACAGGGTAGTTCTCTTAGGCCCTTGGTCTGCTCATCACCAAGGTTCTGGCTCAAACAGGAGAATTAGAGACAGCCTGAGCTGAGCAGCAGATAGGTGGTAATTCCAGCTATCAGGTGGAGTAGGAATAATGGGAGCAGCAGAGATGGAGGCTTGGGGTGGGACCCTGTCACCACCAGGGCTAAAAGCAGCCACATTACTCCCTTCGCCAGCACCGCAGCTGATGACTCACTGCTTATTTACAGTGGAGCTCTCTTCAGAAAACATAAAGCAAAAGCTCCAGAAGGGGCCTGTGGGTGCCGAGAAGCATCTTTCTTCGGGATACAGCTGTGGCAAGGAGGGGTGACCCTGCTGTCTTCCTGGAACACAGCGTGCCACTGGCAGGGCCAGGGCCAGGCAAATCTCAGGACGATAACATGTGCACCCATGTCCCTCTCTCCTGAGTCATCTTCAGCTTGGAGGGTCAGGAGACCTCTGGAAGCTTAGCCACATAACTCGTCCTTGAAGCAGGACCCAGATAGGGGCAGATGACACATGACAGTTAACTGTGCCAGGTGCAGCTCCAGCAGCCCTACAAGAGCATTTATAGAGGAGGGCAGAGGCAAGCAGGTGGAGGCCTCAGGTGAGCACCAGGTCAGGAGGTGACAACCTGGATTCCACCTGGGCAGAGGCAGGAAATAGCAAGAGGCCTGCAGAGCGGGAGCTCCTGGCAGGTGCACAGGAGGATACACGACACCTGTGTCTGATCTATAGGAAGAATGCTGCCTTCCCTCAGGGCAGAGGTCCCATGAGGGCTTGATGCTTGGTGGAAGAGGCCAAGGAGGACACAGCCAGGTGCCTCTGGGGAGAACTACTAGCACCTCTACTGCCTCCCACCCCGAGCTCTGTCCCTGGGCTCTTGGGCTGCTTTTCTGACACCGCGCTGTCAGATGTCCTTAAAGGGCTGTTTCCTGTCCAACACGCAGTGAGTACGTCTGTGCTAGGGAGAGAACAGAACTCATGGGAGCTCCTGCCTTCATGGGCTCATGCTTGGGACAGGCATGTGACCCTGAACACATGAGCATATGGGCCTTTGCAGCCAGCCGGCTTTGAAGAGCCAGTTGGTCACAGTGCAGGCTGTTCATGCCACAGGCCCACAGGGCCAACAGGAAACAGAAGCTGAGGAAAGTGGAATAGCAGTCAAACGTCAGATGAGACCACAGCTTCAGTCAGCACCCTGAATGCACGCAGAGGACTGACGTGAGCTGTGAGGTAACAGATGGATGTTGTCTTAAGGGACTATCCTGTGGTAACCTGTCACCTGGAGATGAGTCCTGTAACTAGTACGGTGGTGGACAATGGCTGAGAAGGAGAGAGTTGAGTGAGAAGCTCATTCTCATGGAGGGAAGGGCAAGTGCAAGGGACTGAGGGCTCCCCGGGGAGGGCTCTGGACAGGACAGCATTGGTGATGCAGGAGAGGCATTCTGGGGCCACATCCACGGCCCTGCAGTCACAGAAATGGGGGTGCCTGGGGGTGGCAGACTGTGAAGTCCTGAAGTTCACATTGAGGTTCTGCAGTTTCTTTGGTCTTTCTTGAATGAACAGAGGTTTCAGTGGCCAGGGGGTGAAACCTGTTCTCGGGATCTTTGCACAAGCCCCACAGTCGACTGCAGCACTGATCAAAGGAGGAGGTGGTCCACACTGGACTGGGCTTATGACAGCAGATGGACTGCTCCTCGGGGAGGGCCTGGTATGTCCACAGCCTCTCCTGAGAAGGAATCAGGCCCTACTTTAGCATGACCCAGAGGAAGGAAAGAAACATTCTGGCAGTCCAGTGTGGGAGTGGCAGAGAAAGGGGAGGGGGAGAGTGAAAGAAAGCAGAGGCTGCTCTGCCTGGGTTCTGGGAAGAGGGGAGGAGGAGGAAGGGGAGCACAGCTTGTCACTGGGTGTGTACTGAGAAGCAGAACCAAATCCAACCATAGCCCATTTTTGAGGTGGTATAGCTCTCCAAAATCTTGGGCCATCTTTACAAATGAGGGTCTCTAAGCACAGAAATGATGCCCATCACAGTGGTAAGGTGTGGGGTGGGGCCTGGCCACACTCTGCATTTCTGTTGCCTCCTCTGAAAGGGTCTATGGTTCTCTGAGTCAGCAGCATGAAGTGGTCTGACTGGTGTCTGGTGACATAAATACCACTATGGTGTCTGTGTAAATAACACAGGGACTGAAAGTCATTTCTCTGAAGCATGGCACACTTACATATGGGCACTCAGCCACTGGCTAGTAGGTGACCCTAGCCCTGCCCTTCCCTGTGGCTTACCTGCTCCATAGACCACTGAGTATACCACCATCTTGGTCTGCTCTCTGTCCATGTGCGTCACGTGCTCCACAGGGATGTCCTTCCTGCGTGGAGAGATGGCATGTCATCAGGCACAGCTGGCACTGTCTGTAGAGGATCACAGTCCTTCATCTCTTCCACAATCATCCTATCGTTTCCCCTGGAGATTCTCTACCATTTTGAGCCAGGCCTGTCACATGGGCAGCAGAGACATGTACCACGTGCAACATCCAGCTCACTCAAGGCTCTCCAGTAGACACAAACAGTGCAGCCCTCAAATTCTGAGTTGTCCACAAATCAAACCAAACATTACTTTCACCAAAGGATGCCCATCCAGCTCCAGGAGAGCCTGTGTGACGGGTCCTAGGCCTGGGCCTCAAGGATAGCTATTAGAAGGGTAAGCTGGTTGTAGTTCTTTCTGGTCCCCCACAGGTCAGATAAGCAGCCATTGCTTATGTAGGGCGAGGCCTACTTTGAGGCGATGGCACCCAGACAGAATAAGGATCAGCTTTGTGTCTGACTGCATGTGAACCACAGCAGTCTTTGAGGTTGAAGCTTAAACAGTTGAGAAGCACAGGGCCCCACAAATGGCACCAAGAGTTGCTCCTCCCTGTCTGGACATCCCCCAGGACTGGTACCTGTGCCCAGGAGCCTCCCCCTGCCTGCTGCTCTTGCAAACATCCTAAGCATGTACACCAGGCCTCCATGATGGACTAGGCACAGAGCAAAGCACCAAAAGACATACGGAGAAGCCTCTCCCCACCTCTGTGCTTGGTTCTGTGTTGGGAGTCTTGTCATCGTGTAATTAGGGTGTTCCCAAGTCTGCCTTAACCTTCACTCCCTGCCTACTCTGCTCCTCGAGGCCAGTCCAAGGTGAACACACAGTCTTCTTAGGTCTATTCTGAACATGCCGGCCGCCCTGGGCACGCACGAGACAGTCTAGGTTTCCTAGTGTACACCACTGATTGAATGGCCTAATTTCACAGCCGCTCTCTCCCCAGCTCTCCCCAGTCTTGTGTGCTATTGTTTACTTCAACTATAACTGTTGCTCCAGGTGACCGCAGGCTGCTTGTCTGCATTGTGATGCTTTTGTGTAATCCCCACACTTCTCTGCAGTGGGTGCTGTGTCAGATGGAACACTCATCAGTCCTTTAGTCAGTTCCCCAACAAATGGGAATGGAAGCAGTGAGGGGCACCTTGCTCCCTTCAGAACCAAGGACCAGGTTCCAGGCAGGAGCAAACTACATGGCTGCCAAGGGGAGGAGCAGAGAGAGGCAGAGGAGCTCACAAAGCTCCCTTTCGCACTCAAGATGCTTCTTCCAGCATTTTCTGGAACCACTGCCTGTTCTCCAGGGCTATGGCAAAGCTGGCTTTGGCAGATCCTGCTTGCTTTTTCAGCATTTCTGTGGCGGATGGCTCCATGGAGCTGCCTCCTCTAGCATTTCCACTAACATGTCAGATGCCATTAATTTCTAAGCACCAGTGCATTTCTAGCCTCCCCCTTTGCTGATATGTTATTTTACCTACTTGTTAGTCTTAATGTTAAACTTAAAGAGCTGTGGTGAAATACTCAGTGGATAAAGACACTTGCCACACAAACCTGGCAACCTGAGTTGGATCCCCAGAACTCACATAAAGATGGAGGAGAGAACTAACCCCACAAAGCTGTCCTCTGACCTCCACATGTGTGGCCACCCCCACCCCCATTTTCCACACATACAAAAATTTTAAAAAGTGTAGTCAATGCCACTCAGGGTCTTTTCTCAGGTGCTTTTCTTCACCAGGTAAATAAGTTTGCAGTCACATCACACAACAAAGGTCCGTTGAAGCGGAAATAACACTCCACATAGCACACAAAGAGACAGACTCCCTGCAAGGGGAGGGTGTCCAGGGCTGGAGCACCATCTACCCCCCTGGAGACTGGCTTTTCTAGTCTATAGGGCAGGAGGTAGGACAGGATTGGGCTCTTCTTTCCCCTTTGGATACAGGAGGATGCATGCTGCTGGTTGGCTTACTCATATGAAAGCAGGAACCTGATCGGGTGGCACAAGGGTGGGAAGTTTGAAATTCCCATGGTGGAGGAGCTGCCAAAAAGGGCCAGCTTGGGATAAGAACCCAGAAGTAGGCCATCTTGGATGAAAATAAAAGTAACTAGAACACAGCTAAATCTAGTCTGGGGCCTCCTTCCCTGACTTACCTGCCCAATCTAGAAGCTACCTCCTGTTCCCTTCACAGTCGTACTGTTTACTCTGTACTGACAAGCGACAGGCCTCCCTCTGTCACCACACAAGTGATCTCTTTGGTGGACACGCAAGGCTGGACAACTGTCTGAGACAGCAACAGCAAGATCTGCTTCACAGAGAAGTTGGGACAGACTGGACAAGACAACTCAAACAGTTATGAGTAGATCAAACTGGCCATAGTCTAAGAGGCACAGAAAATGCTAAAAGTTTGTATAAGGTAGAAATACTTAACAGTGATCACAGTGCAAGGAAACTAGAAATCCAAAACAAAAGAATCCTTCCATTTGGAAATAAACAAAAATAGAAACATTTTATATGAAAGGAAATAAGAGACACTGATACACATAAAATAATAAACAAATCTAGAAAAGTTAAAAGCAATGAAAAGAACAAGAAACAATCCAAATCATGTAGAAGGAAGATGGTGAAGATGGGCGTTAATTACTGAGGAAGGGAGCAGGAAAATTAACAGATTAAATTGGCAAGGAAAATTTTGCTCTTATAGGCCGGGTGTGGTGGCACATACCTTCAGTCCCAGCACTTGGGAGGCGGAGGCAAGAGGATCTCTGTAAGTTCGAGGCCAGCCTGGTCTACACAGTGAGTTCCAGGACAGCTGGGGCTACAGGGAGACCCTGTCTCAAAAAAATTTTTTTTGCTCTTATAAGAAAATGGACAATAAAGTTAGTTAATTTAATTGAAAAGGGAGAGCCAAATGTGGTGACACACACCTTTAATCTCCCTATTCAGGAGGCAAATGCAGGCAGAACCATGAGTTCAAGGTCATCCTGGTCTACAGAGCAAGTTCCAGGCCAGCCAGAGCTGTGTAGCAAGACCCTGTCTCAAAAAAAAAAAGAGGGCCTGGAGAGATGGCTCAGCAGTTAAGAGCACTGGCTTCTCTTGCAGAGGACCTGAGTTCAGTTCCCAGCAGCCACATGACAACTAACAACTGTCTATAACTCCAGTTCCATGGGATCTGATTTCCCTCTTTTGGCCTCTTTGGGCATTGCACACATGGGTGCCCTCACACATACACATAAACACTCATACACATAAAATATATTTAAAAAGGAGAAAGCACAAATACACAAAATAAGAAACTGCAAAGGAAAGTGACTCTTGGTGTGGAGGAGGTAAAAAATCTTTGGAAATGATTTTTTTTTTAGTCTTTTTGAGACAGGGTCTCCCTGTAGCCCCAAGCTGTCCTGGAACTCGCTATGTAGACCCGGCTGGCCTTGGACTCACAAAGATCCCCCTGCCTCTGCCTGGGATTAAAGGCGTGCACCACCATACATGATCTTGTTTTTTTAAATTTTATTTTATGTGTACTGCCTGCATGTAGGTAAGTGCACCTGTGTCGTGCAATGCCCATGGAGGACAGAAGAGGCTGTCAGATTCCCTGGAACTGGAGTTACAGACAGTTATTAGCTGCCATGTGGGTGCTGAGATTCAAACCCAGGTCTTCTGCAAGAACAGCCAGTGTTCTTAACCACTGCACCATCTTTCCAGCCCCTGGAAATGATCTTGTACAACTTTATATAGGTACATTTAAAAGCCTAGGTTAGGTGGATACAACCTTAACAACATTCTATTATACAAATTGACCCCAGAGTCTGGGGTTATAGCTCAGTGGTAGAGGGGCTGCTCAGCATGCCCAAGGCCCTGGGTTCCATCCTCAGCATTGAAAAATATGTTAAAATTGACCCCAGATTGAATGCAATAGCATATTCCTGTAATTCCAGAGGGGTTCAACTTTGGGAGGTAGAGGCAGGAAGATTGAGTTCTAGGCCAGCCTGGGGAATATATCAAGACTCTTGTTTCCAAAAATAAAATTGATCCCAGTATAGATGAAAGTTAAATAAGGTTGGCTCACTAGAAGAGTACTTGCTTAGCAAGCATGAGGTTCTGGGTTCAATTTCTAGTTTTTAAAAAAATTATTAAATAGACCAATATTTATAGAAGAAATAGGGAAAACATTTAAAAATATTTTATTTATTTTTTTAATTTTATGTGTATGAGTGTATTGCCTGCATGTACGTGAGTGCACCCATGTCATGCAATGCTGCGGAGGTCAGAAGAGGGCTTCGAATTCCCCTGGAGCTGTAGTTAAGGATGATTCACAGCTGCCATGTGAGTGCTGGGGATTGAACCCGGGTCCTCTGCAAGAGCAGTCAGTACTCTAAACCACTGAGCCATCTCTCCAGCCCCAAAATATGGAAAACATTTAAGGAACTAACCCACAAAAACTGTCAAGGAATTCTACCAAATCTTTGGAGACCAGACAGTTCCCTATGCTGATTAAGTCATATCAGAGGGTAGAAAGTGAAGAAAAACTTCCAATTTTCTTTTCTTCAAGTATCACAGTATATCTAAAAATGGTGAAGAGAACAGAAAATATAATAAAGGACATTTCAGATTTATATCTCTTGTGCATAGTGATGATGTAATAATCTGTGCTGGTTAGTTTTTGTCAACTTGATATAAACTAGAGTCGCCTGGGAAGAGGGAACCTCAGTTGAGGAATTTCCCTATTAGTCTGGCCCGTGGGTATGTTGGTGGGGCATTTCTCAATTGCTAATTGATGTAGGCGGGCCCAGCTCAAGGTGGGGGGTTGCCATCCCTGAGCAGGTGGGCATGGGTTGTATAAGAAAAGTAGCTGAGGGGTTGGGGAGATGGCTCAGCAAGTAGGAGCACTGGATGGTCTTTCAGAGGACCCAGGTTCAGTTCTCAGTACTCTCCTGGTGGCTAACAACTATAATTCCAGCTCTAGGGGATCCAATGCCCTCTCCTGACCTCCATGGACATTGTATAACACAGGTTCACTT